AAGCTTCCAGAGTATTTACTTTGTCCATCAAATATGTCAACTTCTCCTTAATCTTATCTGAAGAAGTGTCCGAAATATTTGGCTCTTTCAGCAATTCTCCCTCATAATTGTAGTAACACGAAATTCCACTGATATTTGTCGTATTAACTGGTAAAGATTTGTCAACAATCATTCGAACATTATTTTCTTTTAATTTCTTGATTGTGAAAAAGAGCGATGAACATTTGAATTTGTTGTGAGACAAACCAATTTCCATTAAATCTGTCAACAAATACTTCGGATTGTCGTAAAAATGCACAATTTGATTTCCATCTAAATACAAATATTGCAATTTTGTAAATACCGACATTGTGTATTCATCAAATTCAGTCAGGCGATTGAAAGACAAATCAAGTTGAATAATTTGATTATCTGAGTTAAATCCCGTGCGAATTATTCGATAAATATTATTTTTCGCCAATTTAAGGACATTTAGAAGCTTCATTCTTGCAAAACACGAACCAATGTTGTCGATCTTGTTTGAATTCAGTTCGAGTGATGTTAAATTTTGACATTGACAAATGTCATTGAAATTATTTCCCAAATTGTTGTTGTTCAAGATTAAAATCTTGAGAGATTTCGTGGAATTTCCTATAGAAATCTCACTAATATTGTTATATTCTGAATTTATTTCCTGCACATAATCAAGATTGAGTTTATTCAAATTCAGTGCTGTTAATGCATTAAAGCTGAAATTCAAAGCATTTAAAAATGTTAAAGATAAACTCTGCTTGAAATCTGACAATTCATTGTGACTCAAATCCAACGATTCTAAGTTTTGCGGTGTTGCGAAAATGTCTAAATCGAGTATTTCTCTCAGTTTATTGTGAGACAAGTAAATCCTTCGGAGATTCTGACAATCTTCAAATGCGTCTTTGGCCAGAGACTCGATTTGATTAAATGTCATATTGATTGTCTTCAATTTTGGGGCAAACACTTTATCGACATGCTTAAGGGTTGTTTTCATCACAATAAGACTGTCCAAATTTGTCAAGTGATCAAACAGTGTCTGAGGAAGATTGCTCATTGACGATCCAACGATCGCAATCTCGTTGATTTGTTCACCCTTGTCAATGCTGTATTTGTGATCATTGGAGAACTCGAAATTACTTATTTCGCAAATTTGTTTAGTTTTATAGTAATTGTAAGGATGATAATATCGAAGGCTCTGCACTTTGTCACAGTGCACATTTATGTCCAAGTTTAGCGACAGAGATTTAATTGGGAATAGAAAAAGCACAGCAATTCTGTAACACAAGTTTTAATGTAATAAAACTTCATTTCTTAATAAACACTACAAAATAACAAACTTCACCTCCAAATCCACACTTTTCCTGCCATTTCACTTCCAATGTTTTTGCGTTTGTCCAACTGATCTCGTCAAAACTGCAAGAGAAACTGAAACTCTTGGCATTTCTCCTGATAAATTATTATCAGCTTTTATTTAATCGCTGAATTGTGCGGTTTGCGTATCATTGTTTCTCCCTCTGCAAATGAAAAATGCTGATAATAAGAAACTCGAGTGAATTGTAAGCAAAATATATTTAAACTTGGTGATTCCTCTTAATTTCTATTTACACATTTTCTTCAATTTTCTTATTCAATATTTGTCCTTCAAGCAATTCCAATCGTCGTGTTAAGTTTCTAATTTCGTAATTTCTCAATATAACATCATTTTCTCTTAAATCCTGCATTTCTTCAACTTCCTCCTTGAATTGCATGGAAAGGGAGAAGATTTTATTGATTTTCTCTTCCATTTTTGTGATTTTCTGCCAAAACACTGAGAGTTTCTCATTAGTTTTCTGCACCAAAACATCATCAATGTCAGAATCTTTCAGCAATTCACCCTCATTGTATTGATAGCAAGAAATTCCATCAATATTTGTCGTATTCACTCGCCTTGTTTTATCAATATGAAGCTCCAATTCTGGTCTGTCTTGCTTGAGTCTTTTGATGAGAACGAATAGATTCGAACACTTTAGCTTGTTGTGCGACAATCCGAGGGAAATTAATTGAGGCAAAAATTGCTGTGACGAAGGATTAAACGTGTGAATTGAATTTCCATCCAAAAATAAGTATTTAAGGTGCGAAAACACCGACATTGTGTACTCATCGAGCTCTTCTAGGCGATTGTGTGACAAATCAAGACGCTCAATTTGATTTTTAGGATGAAAACTGTAATGATTCACGTGATAAATCTTGTTCCGCGACAAATTCAGTTCCTTTAAGTTCTGCATTTGGGCAAAACAACTCAGAAGATTGTCAATGTTGTTGGAATTGAGCGAAAGCTTCTCCAAATTGCGACTCTTGCAAATATCCGGGAAGATTTCATCCAAATTGTTGCTGTTGAAATTGATTGTGAGGTAATTTGAGTGATCAGACATTGAAAAGGACGTTAAATTGTTATTTTCCGCATTGATTTCATCACACAAACTGCTGATGAAGAGCTTTTCCAGCCTGTTATTGCGCACATTTAGCTTTGACACTTGAACTTCAGTCAAATCCAGATATTTCAACTCATTTTTCTCAACATTCAGAATATGAATTGCATTGACACGAACAGTGTTGTGCCTTTACATGGTAAAAAATACCTCTTTACATTTTACACGTAAAGAATGTGTAAAAAATGTTAAATGTAAAGTAAAATGTAAAATGTCAAGTAAAATGTAAAAATTCTTTTCTGAAGTTTAAAAAAACTACTGAAATTCCCGTGGAATTCCCGTGGAATTCCCGTGGAATTGCAGAAAATACTTTTTGTCACATACGCGAGAAGTCGCAAAATTGTAAAGAAACAGTGAAAACTCAGGAAAATCTGCAAATTGTTGGCATAATTGAGTAAGGTAAGTTAATAATTCAACAACTGATGTTCAAATACATTTGTTTGATGGAATATCGAAGTTTTACTCTAATTTTACAAGCAAATTTGCTAATTGAACGTATTTTTTTTAAATTCAAAAGGGCAATGTGACGGTTGCTTATTATGCTCATCCAGAATGCACAGCGGGAAAAATCCATGTTTAGCAAATATCTTGGCAAGAACTTCAAGGATTGCACGAGATTAAATTTTTGCCTAAGAACCATAAAACCGAGAAATCTGTCTGCACATTTTGGTCTTAATTACCTAAACGAGGGTAAAATTCACAAAACTCTTAATGATTTTGGCTTCATGGAAAAAAAAAAAACGCCTGAAGTAAATTTCCGTTATTAACGAATGTTCGATTCGAAAAATTGAACCCAATTTTCGTATTTTACATTTTTTCTTTACATGTAAAAAAAAAATTGTGTGTAAAGAAAACATTTTTTACCATATAAAGAATTGTGTAAAAGTAAAAATGTAAAAAATTCGCCCAACACTGGACACGAACGTTTAAGACTTTGATTTCATTGTAACTCAAGTCAAGAGTGTGAAGAACTGGCCTTGTTTGCAATGTATTTATGTTGAATTCCTGCAAATTATTGTGCGAAAGATTCAATGATCTGAAATATATTTTGTCAAACACACTTTGTGATATATTTTCAATTCTATTGAAGGAAAAGTCAATTAAGTGCAAAGTACTTTTTGGATCAAAAGGTGTTCCAGTTAAGGAAGTTATTTTGTTGTGTTTCATCACAATTTCCTGAACATAATTGCCGTGATAAAATGCCTTTTTGTGCAGAGATTCTATTTGATTGTGTGAAAAATCGAGAATTCTAACGTTCGTCAGATTCAATTTTCCAACATGTTTCAATTGCGACGCTTCGATTTTCAACAAATACAAATTTATCATGTTTGTTATAAATTCTATTGGCATATTTTCCACGGTGGAATTGACTATTTTCAGCCTCGTTATTATCTCGCTGGAGTTGAGAAAGTATTCACGATCATTGTCCAGAATGTAGTTTTCTATCAAACACTCTTCACAAATTCTGTACATTTTCTCTGGCTCACGTTGATAAACTTCGATGCCACAATTGTTGAATTCCTCACAATGAACGTTCTTGTTCTTCACATTTTGGCTGAAAGACGTGGAAATGAGCAGTAAAATTGCCAAGGAATTCCTAAAGAAGAAACAATTTGACACAATTAAATCAATTCACAAAGTTTCAATAGAAAATTTCACCTTAAAACAATCATTTCACGAAATATTTTGAGTGTTATTCTGTCTGTGCTTTGCAAGAGACTAATTTAATAGTGATTATTCCTATCAATTTGTAGCATTTCCAATGATAAGAAAAAGCATGCGCATTTTCCCAAGACGGAGATAATACGCCATTAATCTGTACACCACTTCCAAACACTTCCAAATTTGCCTGACACTTCTAGAACTGGAAGTTTTTATTATGAATTTCATAAATTTCCAATCGATATTTCTGCAAGAATCGACTTAAAAACGCATTTTTAGGCATCTTTTCCGCCCATAACCTCAAAATATCACTAAGATATCGTGAAAAACACCTTTTTAAATCTTACTAGATATCAAAATCATCTCTTATGATTTAAGAATGAACTCAAAATTGCTGATTCAGCGTAAAAATTATTCGAAAAGGTGTTTAAATAGACATTTTCCAAGTTTAAACGACTATTTTTGAGGTTATGTGCAAATTCAATACAATCTACAGTGTTTCATGCAATCAAAGGCTCAGAATAGCGTTTGCTTATCGCTTGTAAATGCTGAATTCTGCCAAAGATTAGCGAATTATTCACTAAATCTGTCCTAAATTCGCTACATAACCTAGAAAAAAAATTGTGTTAATGATTTTGCGTGAAAATTGAGAGAAATCTAAAGATTGGGGATAATTTATCAATAAAAGAAGCATTCTAGATTGGAATTTTGTAAGCTTCTAAACACTTTCACTTCTTAAGTACTTCTGCTGAGCTTGTACACCACTTCTGACTGTATTATCTCCCCCTTGCTTCCCTTGCTTTCTCCTTCCCAATTATCATTGGTGATTATTTTTTTTATGAAGCACTCTTTATTGAGATTCAAAAACATGGATTATACATTAATGTTTAGAGATTGTTTGTTACAAATTATTCATCTGTCAAGCTGAAGCTTGAATTTCCGTGATTTCGCATCACATTCGCAAGTTTGTCTGTGACATTTTTCTGCTCCTCAAGTAATTTTGTCACATTTTTAACAGTCGCCTCGAGTGCGCCTAATTTCTGCCAGAAGAATCTCGCCGATTGCGTTATGACGTCCGCGGAATCCTTGTACAATTCGCCCTCGTGATTCTGGAAACACGCCATGCCTTGGATGTTCGTCGTGTTCACTGGCGAGGCGTCGTCAATGGGAAAGTTCAAGCTCTGGTTTTCCACATTCTTCAGCAGCAAAAACAGCTTTGAGCACTTGAATTTGTTGTGTGACAATCCGAGAATGTTCAAGTATGGCATTAAGTACTTTGGATTGTCGTAAAAGTTGAACAATTGATTGCCGTTCAGAAGAAACTTCTCCAAGTGTTGAAAAACCGACAAAGTGTATTCGTCAATGAATTCTAGTTGATTGTGAGACAAATCAAGTTCCTCAATTTGGTTTTCCATGTGAAAACTGTCGTGATTGAGTTGTGATATTTGATTTCTGGCCAATTTGAGTGTTTTAAGAGTCTTCATGGCAGCGAAACAGAAGCCAATATCAGTGATATTGTTTGAATTTAAGAAAAGCATTTCTAATTTAGTGCATTTGCAAATATCTTGCAAATTATCGCCCAAACTGTTGTTGTTCAAATTAATCATTTCCAGTGTATTAAATGAAGTATCTAGAAATATGTCTTCTAGGTGATTATTATAGGCGATAAGTTTTGTAAAATCGTTTCCAATTGAGAGACTTTTGAGTTTATTATCATTAATATATAAAATTTCTATTTCCATATCACGAAAGTCTATGTCAATTAATTCATTGAAACTCAAGTCAAGTGAGAGCAATTTATAATACGCTGGATGGAATAATTCAATTTTATTGTGACTGAAATTCATGGTTTTGCAGTTTTCAATGTTTGCCAAATGATCAAAGCGAAGTGTTTTAAAGGAATTGTAAGCGAGATTTAAGTTTGTGATATAAGTATTTAAAAATACCTCATCAGATATTCCTGAAATATTATTTTTTGACAAATCCATCATATTAATTTCGCTGTCATTAGTGAAAGGCTCGCCATTTAAGGCATGTATTTTGTTACTACTCAAATTAATGCTCGTTAAATTTGTGCAACCTGCAAAAGCTTCCTCATCCAGTGAAGTGATTTGATTTGCTGATAAATCCAAAGTCGTCAGATTTCTCAGCTTAATAGAATCTACGTGCTTTAGCGTTGTATTTGTCACTGTTAATTTTTTCAGCGACACAAGAGGTGCCAATAATTTCAGGGGCAGATTTTCCATGGAAGAATCCTCAATTGTTAGTTGCGTAATGTCCTCACTGTCATTGATGTAATATTCACGATCAGCGGCAAATTCATAATTTCTCACAGTGCAGTAATATTCTGTTAATATCTGTACTTTGGGCTCTGGTTTTTTCTTCTGCTGATTGTAACTATTGTAGCCTCCATAATATCCAGAATTATATCTTGAATTATGTACAATCACCTCGGAAGGCTCTTCAGGAGGTAAGATTTTTGATGTGCGAATAGGAGTCCAAACATCACAGTGGACATTCTTGCTGCGCAAGAAATCTCGGCCTAAAGTATTGGCGATCAGCAGAAGAATAGTCACACTTCTACAAAAAAAATTACCAAATCAATCAATACTCAATATTCTTCACTATTAATTTTATTACACAAAACTTCACCTCAAAAACATCTCTCAGCAAATTCACTGCAAACTTCAACTCTAGCTCTGAAGAAAGTGGAATTGAAACTGAATTTCCACGCGCAACAACAATCTCTATTTATATGCGAAAAAGCAAATTGTTATCTCTGAATTTCTGAATTTTTTCTCTCTCTTTATTTCGTGATTATACAGCATTTCTAAAGGGTTGCTAATAGTGGAGTTGAAGTGTCACTTTCTTAAGAAGATGCACAAAGAAGAAATAAGACAAAAACAGATATTTTAGTCGTAGAAATATGTGTAGAAAAATCTTAAAGTATCTTTTACTCGCTCAATAATTATATCTCTCTAAACTTTACCTCAAATTGCTTTTTACCACCCCGAAAAAATGCATTTTTCTCCCTTAAATCTGCTCCTTATTTCTATATTTAACACAGATTAATAATTGTCTCTTCAAGTTTTTGCTGTTTAGTCGCTTTTATTCATCTAAAATGATCTCTAAACTAGTCAAAAAATATCCTAAATAGATGCTTTGGCACTCAAAACCACTTATTACCAACCCTTTGATTATTTCTCTTCAAGGGGCAAAACACAGGGCGATTTAATGATGATTTGAGGAAATTTAATGTTCTCTAATCAAATAATCAATTATTGGAGTAAAATAAACAAAAAATGATTATTTTCTTAAGTAAAATTGAAAATCAATCCAATTTGGAAAAAATAATAATAAAAAATTCATATTTTCCCAAGTAAAATTGAAAAATAATTTATTTTGAATAAAATTATCAAAAAAAAAATTATTTTTGTAAGTAAACTTGAAAAATAATTTAATTTTGAATAAAATAATCTAAAAAAAATTATTTTTGTAAGTAAAATTGAAAAATAATTTAATTTTGAATAAAATAATCTAAAAAAATTATTTTTGTAAGTAAAATTGAAAAATAATTTAATTTTGAATAAAATGATCTAAAAAAAATAATTTTTGTAAGTAAAATTAAAAATCAATCCAATTTGGAAAAAATAATAATAAAAAATTCATATTTTCCCAAGTAAAATTGAAAAATAATTTAATTTTGAATAAAATTATCAAAAAAAAATTATTTTTGTAAGTAAACTTGAAAAATAATTTAATTTTGAATAAAATAATCTAAAAAAAATTATTTTTGTAAGTAAAATTGAAAAATAATTTAATTTTGAATAAAATGATCTAAAAAAAATAATTTTTGTAAGTAAAATTAAAAATCAATCCAATTTGGAAAAAATAATAATAAAAAATTCATATTTTCCCAAGTAAAATTGAAAAATAATTTAATTTTGAATAAAATTATCAAAAAAAAAATTATTTTTGTAAGTAAAATTGAAAAATAATTTAATTTTGAATAAAAAAATCTAAAAAAAATTATTTTTGTAAGTAAAATTGAAAAATAATTTAATTTTGAATTGAATAATCAAAAAAAAAATTATTTTCCCAAGTGAAATAACAAAAAAAAATCTAAATAATCAAATTCTGAACTAAGTAATAAAAAAAAAATGAATTTTTTTTCCCAAGTAACATTAAAAAATAATTAAAGTAAGCAAATTCCAAGGCAAATTCTGAATTAAATTATCAAAAAATGATTATTTTCAATCGATGAATCAGAATATTCCGAATATTTACAAATACATATTCAAATTTTGAATAAAATATTCAGAAAAATATGAAAAACCATTTAAAATTTGAGTAATAATCACAAATAATCAAAAAATGATTGAATAATCGCGAAGTTAATGGTCTCAAATCGCGAGTGATTGTCCCCTTGTTGCTCTTCCTCAAGCGAATGTTCTTAGCGATTCGCCGGATTGTCGCAGAGAAATTTTCCTGTACAAACAATATTTGATGCAAACCTTATCAGAGTGATACCAAATGACCGCGAATCCCACGAATATCACCAAAATCACCGCAAATATTCCGATAAAGTGGTAAAAAGTGTCGCTTTTCTTATCGCTCAACTCTTCAGGCGATTTTGAGGCGATCGATTCATTGAATCTCGCCTCGATTGAGTCAACTCGAGTGTTTGTCATCTGCATGAACTTCCGCAGGTTCTTCATCAGCACACCGTCGATGAATTCCTCGCTCTTGTCGTCCTTTTTGCGGGTATTTTCGGCTCTTAGTTGGGAGAAATTCGCCGCAATTCCATCGCGAAGGATCTCGTGGGATTTCACCATTTTCCACACGAGACTCGAGTAATCCTGAAGCTCAAACTTGATCTTCTGCACTTCGCGCCAAATTGAGGCATTTGCAGCCGAAGGAGGCTCAAGATTGGGCGTGGAAGTGTTGAATTTGGTGTTAAAACACGCCATTCCGTGGATATTTGTCGTGTTGACGATCGCGGGCTTGTCGATGTTCAGCACAATGTCCTTCTTGGTGGCTTTCAGCTGGCGAAAGATGGTCAAAAGTCTGTCGCACTGGAAGCGATTGTGCGACAAGCCAATGACAGTCAATTGTGGCAGAATTGTGGCCAATTGATCTGTGAGATCATCAATTCGGTTCCCATCCAAATAGAGACTCTTCAGATTGTGCAGCAGCGACAAAGCGTGTGAATCGACGGTCTCGATCGAGTTGTAAGACAAATCGAGAGTCTCAAGAATATTTCCGCCATGAAAGTATCCATAATCAATGTGTGTTATTCGATTCCTCTTGAGATTCAGCAGCCTCAGAGTGTGCATTGTGGCAAAGCAGAAGCCTGGATTTTCAATTCCATTCGAGTCCAGGATGATTTCCTGTAGATTTTCACACTGACAAATGTCACCGAGATTGTTCTTCAGCTGATTTCCCGCCAATTTCAGCACTTCTAAGCTCTTCAGCGACTTCCCGAATGAAATTTCGCGGATTTCATTGTCCTCCGCGATGAGTTCCTTGCAATTCCTGCCCAAAGTGATCTTCCTCAGTTGATTTCTGCTCACATTGATGGACAGAATGTCGGTGTTTTGCAGACTCAGTGAGTCCAATTGATTGAAGCCCAGCTGAAGATTAGAACTGATAACAGAAGTCATTGAGAGCAGTGTTTCTGGCGCCTCAACTCTCTTCAGACGATTGTGACTGAAGTCAAGCTGCTTCAGGACTGTTAAGTGGGCGAGAATCTCCAGTTTCAACTCCTCAAGAGCGTTGAATTGCGCCCAAAACACCTCCAAAGACGGCGTCTGAGAAAAGATCTCAGACGGCAAATGCTTGATCTTATTCTCAGCAATATTTACAGATTCAAGCCCTGAAAGGCCATTGAAGATCTTCTCGGGCAGAACACTGATCTTATTGTCATGCAAATCGAGTTCGCGGAGATTTGGACACTCGGCGAAAGCCCATTCGGCCAAGGAGTGAATTTCATTGGAGGACAAATCAATTTCCGCCACCTTCTTGAGACTCAACTCGTCAACATGGTGGATTTTGGCGCGAAAACTCACTGATTGCAGATTCACGAGGCGCGCAAGAAGTCTCACAGGAAGCTTTGCGATTCCCGAGTTGAAGACCTTCAAGTGCAGCAAATACATGCTTTCCTCCACCGTCAATTCGTCACTGTCCACGAGATCCATTCCGTCCATTTCGCAGGTGAAAGTGGAGTGAAAGAATCCAGGATAGATCTTCCTGGAGCACGACAGAGTCACACTGTGGCATCCTTGGGCAATCAGCAGAATGCAGAGACAGAGAAAAGCCCTGAAAAATCACACGAAATAGCACAAAAATTCCCACAAATCACCATCAAATTTCCTCACTTTCTTATCACCATTGCGTCAAAGACTTCCACTGTGCGTGAGACTCGAGAAATCCTTCGCAAATGATCATAAATCGCGAAAATCGTGGCGATTATAGTCGCAAAGATGACAAGTTTATCGGAAATTTCTCCACTAAGATTCACTTTCTGGCTGTTTATGTGAACTAGTGACACTTATTATTGGCACATTTGCGATAAGAAGACATCCTCAAGTGGGGAAAAATGTGTACTCAGAGAAATTCTAATCGGCGGCACGCGACTTCAGCTCTTATCAAATGTGAGAAGTTGAATGAAAACAAAGAAATTGCCTCGTAAATCTCATAAAGTTAACGATTATTTTGAATAACAGCGCTTTGAATTGATTAAACAGCTTTTTCGGAAGATAAAAGAGCAGAAAGTGATTGAAAATGAACATAAAACAAATTATTGAAGATTCTTGGCTCATAAAACACGAGTTTTCACGAAATTTGAGAGGAAATTATTAGAATTTTGAATCTTTTAACCTTAAATTTGAATTGATTATTATTTTTCCGTTAAAAAAATCTATTTTTATCAATCAGATCTGCATCTTGATATATTTTTCTAGGTTATGTTACGCATTTAAGGCTATTAAACATCCAAAAATATAAATTCTAGAACAGGAAATAAAATTATTTCCACTTTTTTAATAGAATTTCGCATTTGTGCACAATAAAAATCGCTTTTCTAATGCTAAATGGTTAAAAACTGTACAAAAGATAAACATAACCTCATTTTTAAGGTCTAAAAGCTCTGATTTTGTGCTAGAAAGATTCTAACTAAGATTTCTTAGGAACCCCAAAGTTTAGAGTCAGTAAAAATAGAATTAGAGGAAGAAAATCCACAACAAATTGACTTAAATTTCAAGTTTAAAGTCGACAGTTAGATTTGGGTTAGATTTGAGTTAGATTTGAGTTATATTTCAGGATGATGAAGCAAAAACAGCGTATTTAGCAGAAAATTTCTCATTTTTGCCTCCGTGATCGTTTCTGAGAAGTGTTGAAGATTTCGCACAGCTTTTGGCCGCATTATCGTCGCTCAGATTGATCTGAGTGCATCTGAGCGGCGGACAATGGTGAAATGGGATGAGAGTGAAATGGGGCAATAGACTTTGATAGAATGCTAGCAGATAAAGTGCCATTCACGTGTGGAGGAAACTGCGAAGGGGAACTAATTGGTGGACTGATGTGGAAAGTTTGCATCAAAATGACTTCCAACTGCTCTGAATTCGTTGCAAATTCAACCGCATTTTCTACACTGAATTCACTAATTTTCCGGGGAATCCCCGAAATGTAAAATGAGCTTCAACCTTATCACGATCGTGGCTTTATCATCTGTCCGCCACCGCAAAGTCAGCAAAACGCGCAGGAAATATATAATTGTTGCTGTGTGACTGAAAACACACACATTTTGCCAGCATTTTCTCGCTGGCGATCAAGACGTTTAGCAAATGATCGCGCTGAGATCTTGCGCTTAGGCAAAAAGACGCGGAGATCACTAATGATGGCCTGCATAAATAATAGAGTTGGAGAAGTTGGACAAGTAAAATCCACGAAGGTACAATTAACGATCTTAATTATGATTTATGATTGTGTCTAATGTTGGCTGTTGAAAGCTTTTTGATCTTCCCCAGCATAAAACTGTCTCAGACTAAAGCAAATAGAGTTTTTCCAACACAACGCCTCGTGATCAGTTGCAATTGTGTCGCACAATTGGCGATGATTTGATTAAATGCCCATCGATTTGTTTGATGTTCGACATCCATTATTCCCTTTTGGGCGATCCAAATTGATTTCAAAACCCGTAAAAGCCACTCATTAGGCCACATTTTGCTCTCTGTGTTTGCACTCAGAAAGTGAAAATCACACGAAATTCCGCTCTCTGATTGAGCCTGACATTCCGCCGTGGGTGATTCCCAGGCGACGCAGGCGCCACAGATAATTTGGAGCCCGGCGAGAAGCTCTCTTTGGTCTCCGGAGCGCATCAATAAATCCGCGCCCAATTAGCGCAGTCGGAGCGCCCTCGCGAGCGCCCCGCCGTCAAAGGGCGGCTTCGCTCTTCCTCGCTCCGCTGCCCATAAATTAGCCCATCTTCTGGGCCTTTCGAAACACACACACACACACACGTGGCGACCGATAGCCGAAATACTCACAATACTCACAATGTTGAGTGAAAATAGCGAAAGAATGGAAGGCAGAAGGAAATTCTGCTTGAAATGTCTCGAGAAAATCATGAAATCACTGACTTTCTGAAGGTTTTTTCGCCCTAACCTCAAAATTACAATGAATAATCTTAAAGAATTCTTGTGCAGAATTGTTTCAAGGAATGATTTTAACCTCAAAATGCAATCTTCAAACCCTTTAAACACAGAAACGATCCAGAAAACTTTTAAAATAGACAATAATTAAATTTTTAATATCATTTTTGAGGTTATGTTTGAGTTTTGCGCTCGTTTTGTGGTTAAAGTTACAAAATAACGATCTTGTGTTCTGAAAAATAAAATTGATTTGAGGTTAGTAGCAAAATTTGGTGTTTTTCGAGGTTTTTAAGTCACTAAATTAATTGTAAGTCAAAAACATAACCTAGAAAATCATTGTCGTTAGCATTTTAAAATGGAAATTGATGCAATTTCCTTTTAAAACACAATTTTAAAGGTTAAAAAACCCTATAAAATTGTTTTAATAGAAGAAAATAATGTGCAATTTGTGTCGATAAGTGTCGTAAAGTGTTGTAAAGTGTCGATAACTTCAATGCGGGAAAGAAAACCAAGTGTGCCAAAGCACTAAGTCATAAAAAAGTGATAAAAATGTATTTTGGAAAGCAAAATACAATCGAAAGACACTCAAAACAAGAAAATTCTGTAAAAAATCTCAAACTTCAGCCCAGAATTTCCTCCCCTTGATCGTCCCTAACCCCAAAGATCGCCTCAAACAGAAGTCGCGGGGAAAATGGCAAAAGATGGCATAGAAGTGAATGCAAAGCTGGGCTAATTGAGTCATTGATTGGCGAATTTCTGGGCGTTGAGCTGCAGTCAATTAGCCCGTCTTGGCGGGATTTTTCTCTCACGCTCCACTCGCGGAGACTCATAAGCATCACCGTGCAAATATTTACAATAATTAGTGCGAGATTTTAATGTTATTGTCCCGTTCTGATTAACATTGCGCGCCCGCAAAATCCGCAGCCAAATCGATTCCACCTTCTCCTCGTGCCATTCGCTCGCCTTCTTTACGATCTGACCCACCGATGACCCCGCATCGCTGCGCCGCGGCTCACGGCGCGATCTGCCCCGAAAATTTGTGTCTCTGCCTGAGCCTTGGCCGAGGCGGCGGCGCGCGATGGACACGAGATGATAAGTTTATGTGCAAATTCTTGGCCGTGCGCAATAAAAATTCAATTAAATTTCACCGCCATCGCCCGCCAAAATTCATGAGCCGAACACAAAAGCTACTGTCCAAATTCGCCTCTCTCGCGAGAAGCGCGCGCGGAATTGAATGGGGAGAAAAGCCGCATTGCGCGCATCTTGATAGCGATCGCGCGCTTTGTCTCTGCGCGCGGGAGTCCCTGAAGTGGCGCCGTTTATGGCCAGGATTTGCCCGCAGAATCTTTTGTTGCCTGCAATTCAATGCGAAGCACTTTGCGTGGAATTTCGTAATTAAACACGCGCTTTTCTGGGTTAATCCGCACAATTTGCTCTTCGGCTTTTCGAATTGCGCGCACTGAGCGTGAAGCATATGCTGCATGTAAAATCGTGCGGAAAATGCAAGATTGTTTTCTCTACTGTCCACAATTCACAAAGCGCCGGTTTTAGTGTGAAATACACTGAGAAAAACTGAAAATTTCATAAACTGTTTAATTGAAGGCTAAGTTTTGGGTAAGAAAAATCAATTTATTGGGTTTTTTTTTTCATAAAATTTGATTTTATCAGAGATTTTGCGTCGTATCTTTCCCTTTTCTATTTTAACAAAGTAGTTAAGGTTTATTTTTATATTTTATTTTTGTATTTAATAAATTTTAATTATGAGAGTTATTTTAGAGTAGTTTTTTTTATGTTTTAGAGTTTGAGAGGGGGTTTTACGTCTCTCAGTTTTGGTAATTCTTGTTCGGCCACATGGTAATTATTATGTTCAATCTATTAATGTTTTGTAATGTTGAAATTATTTATATTTTTTTCTATGTTTAAATAAAAATATATTGATTGGTTCATAATTGTATTTTTTTGTATTCTTAGTTTTAATAAGGTAGTTAATTTTGGGAAAGCTTTTTATCTGTCTCTAAAAAAGAATTTTATGATTTGTGTTTTGCTAAAATATTCTTAGAATTTCGTTTTTCATTAATATTTGTGATATTTTTGAATATTTCCAATCGAAACTTTTGAAAAAAAAAAACGTCAAAAAAATTGTGAAAAGTAGAATTTTTAAAAAGTATTGATTAAAAAGCGACTTTTGAAACTAAAATTTTTAGTTTTTCTATTAACTTTGCCATATTTTAGTCAAAAATTTCAATAAATATCGACAAAATCAACTGAAATTTTCTCAAAATTTTATTATATTTCTTTATTTCAATTTATTAATAAAAAAAATGACGATTTTGGTTTTTGTTTACAAACCTTGAAAGCGTTTTTCCTGCAAAAACTTTCAATCAGCGTTGAAAGATTCACAGTCATTCCGATGGTTTACGGCGCCGCAATTGCTTTCGTGGATGCGCATAGCCTCCGAAGATACAGAAAAGCTTGTGTTTTAATTAATTTATTTACTGTTCTTTATTCTCAAAAAACTCTGTACACAAAAATATTATATTATTATTCATTATACTTGTGGGGGGAGAAGAGATATTGTGTGTCTGTCTTTTTATCTTTGTCTCTATTTTATTTTAACTTTTATCGTCACAAATCGTGTGTTAAGAACTCAAGAGAAACGGATCAAAATTGCTGCTGTACGTGGAGAAAAAAACGTCTCAATCAAAATCCCAAAATTGATTTTATCCCAAAAAAAAAACAGAAAAATGCTCTCAGATTTTGACTGGGGAGATAAAAATCGTCGATGATTCGAAAGTGTGTGTGTGAAAATGTTGATTTTGCAAGTCAACATGAAAAAATGTCGAAAAGACACACACTTTTTCTTGTTGTTCATTAATTACAAATTGTTAATGCATGTTTAATTGTTAATATTTGTCTCCATAGGCTTATTAAATTGTTAAAATACTTCTTCTTGTTATGAATTTTTTTCACTTTACAAAATGTTTTACTTGTTTTTTTTTTGTCAATACCTGAGAAGTTATTAATATTTCAAAAATTTTTTTCCTTAATCATTAATTCCTTTTTTTCTTACTTATTTTTCTCATGAAATCTTTTTTTTTTGCTTTTTATCATTCTTTATGTTATTTTGAAAAATATGTGATTTTTTCTGTTGTATTGATAGATTTTTTTTATTATTATTATTATTTTTCGTCTGTCTTCAAATGTTACAAAAAGTTCCTTTTTTTTACTTTATTACTTATTCACTCTCTTATTTAAGTCATTTTTCTTAGACTTGTTTTCTTTTTCCTAGAATTTATTATGCGAATTGTTTTTTTTTAATTCACTTTATATTGTGTGTTTTGAGACAAAAAGACATTTTCAAATATTGAAATTGTATTTTAGTTTTTAATGAATTTTTTTTTAAATCTCCTCAGTTATTTTTCTTCTTCATCATTTTTTTTATATTCCTTAAATTTTACAAATTACTTTTATGACTTTGCTTTCTTACACTTTTAGAAAAAAAAAAAAAACTTGATGAACTTCTGAAAATTTCGTACTTTTTTTTTCTTAGAAAAATTCTGTCTCTTGTTTTTTGTTCCTCTTTTCTTTCTTTTTTTCTCTTTTTATTATTATTTTAAGCACGTACACAACATAATTTCTGGTGGTTTCTTTTCCTTCTCTTAATTCTCATCCTTTTATTCTCTTTATGTTTCTTTTTTATTTTGTCGTGAAAGAGCGCGGTTTTTTTTTCTTATTATTTTTGAGTATATAAATTTCCTTGAGTGTTTCTCTCTCTCTTTCTCTCACTCTCTGTCTCTCTCTCGCCGAAAGAAAGCGAACAGAAGAAGAAGAAGATGAAGAAGCGTGGAGGAAATTAAGAGGGAGGCAGTAAAATTATTTGCTACATTACACGATATAAAAAATTTGCATTATAGATTCCGAATGATATTTTTCCTTCGCTATTCAACTACAGTAGCGAAAAAAATCTTAAGACATAAAATGTTTTCACAAAAAACCCATTTTTTGGTGAAAAATTCGATATTTCTTTCAATTTCTCAGACATTTTCCTCAAGACAGAAAATAGGGGTAAATGGGGCAGCTTCAGATTGGGGCAGCTTCAGATTTCTTAATTTTCTCAGAGATTTTTGCATGAATAAATTCCTGGTCTTCACACAATGTTTGTAGTCCTTAAGGACTACAATTGACGGAAATTTGCTCAGGATAGCCTTGACTGTTTAGATAAAATAAGTGGAAATTGAAAATCACTCACAAACTAGAATTTTGCTGCCGAATTGATTGCGTGTTTTCTCCATTAAAAAAGCCACAATTCGCGTGAAACACAATCAAAGGTTATTGAGAATTAAGTAGAGATTCTAAATATGCCCGAACTTTTCCTCCTTGGCACGGCCTTTCAGTGGGTGGTGGAAAATGCACAAACACTGCACACGGGGCAGTTTCGGATCGCCACGGACTGACAACAGCGCGCTCTGACAGTCTGACGCAACATCACGGTCGAAATTTTCTTGTGGCAAATATTGAAGATTTTTCACAAAGTGCCGTTCTGTGCTGCATTGCTTCATCACGTTAAACGACTTCTTAGTGGAAAAGTGAGAAAATACACGCGAAAATCACTGATTAGGCAGATTTTCGAGAAACATTTTGCGCGGAACTTTCGCGGCGCGTCAAGTTGCCACCACTCACGCATGGTGGCGTTGCGATACAGGAAAAATGACGGGCAACTTGCTTTTCGCTCAGAAATTTTGACAGTGCGTGCAAGGGTCCAGAAAAGTCGCGAAAATATTACTTTAAAGGCGATTTTTAGGGAATTAAACAGTTTCAGTGCGTAGAAGAGATATCAAAGTGATCATTTGTCCGCGATTTTACAATTCCACAATGGAATTTAAGGTAAATATCAGTGAAAATCTGAAGCTGCCCCAGAGCAATCCGAAACATCCCCGTGCGGGGCAGTTTCAGATAATTTACAATATTATTTTTTAATCTCCTTCAGAGGAAAAAGGATCAGTTTTAATGCCCAATGAAAGGCATTTTCTGAAGCTCAACAGACAAGAGCTTATTTGAGCGTTGTGATTATTTCAATATATTCAGCCGATTTTTCAAGAAAAAATCCTAAAGTTGGAACAGCATTTTGAATCTGAAGCTGCCCCACTTACCCCTATTCAGGATTTTATGATGTCTCAAATGCAGAGAAATATGCACAATTTGCTCTAAATCCGTGTTTTAATCACTATTTTGGCTAAAATAACTGCATTAAATCATGAATTTGGAATGTCTAGAAGACATTTACTTTCTTGGGCGCCTTGATTTGGACTTGTTAAATTGCTTTTTGTCTGTTTTAGCTACCCAAATCCTGTTCACAGGTTTTGCTGAACTGTAGAATACAAGCCCAAGTTTATCATCCAAGAACAAATAATTATGTAGTTGTGAAAATTACAGCATTTTACTCTTTAGAAAGTGTGATTTTTAGTCAATTTCTTATTATTTTGTCCAGAAAATCTGTAATTTCTTATTGATGAATTGCAGGAAAATGGATAAAATTGCGTTTAGATATTCCGTAGCGTTCAAGCAATTCATAAAGCTTGTATATTATGCCCATGTTATGCTGTTAAACCCAGCATTGAAGCTATAATTGCTCAAAAACATACTCCGAAAAACACTAAGAGCGATTACAGACTTGCGCTTTACTCTCAAATCGACGGGAACTGCGATCATCTCTTCGTGGCTGAGCTTGGAGTGTGTGAAGATCAGATCAGCGATAATTCGTGGTTGATCTGCGCCTTTACACACTCAAAAACTATGGATCAGCAATAAATCGTGGCTGAATTGGCGCTAAATACACTCAGAGGTTATTCTTCTTTATCGACACTAGCGACAATTTGCTTCGTGTGTTCAGCTGTCAGTTGATTTGTTTATTTTGCCAAAAAGTGTGAATTTTACGATAAAATTGCCAAAATTGAAGATTTGCGGAAGAATTTAATGATTTTAGTAGCTCAGGAAATTGTTCACAAAAAATCCGCCATTTTGAGCGCGATTTCGTCGAGAATTCCTTAAATATCGGTCGAATCTTCGATATATCGAGGGATTATTAGCGTTTTCTGGCTAAACGAACTGTCAGTCGAAGACACTCGCGCTCTCGCTTATCCTCCCGTGGATCATCAGCAAGTCTATAATCGCTTTTAGATTAGATATTTCGACTAGATAATCCTGAACATTTTTTATCTTGAGGAAAATGTCCGAAAAATTGACAGAAATATCAAAATTTTCACAAAAAATGGAATTTTTAAAGAAAAATTTTTATATCCTAAAACTTTTCTCGCTTTTAGACATGATTTTTCCCAGAAGTTTTTTTTGCATTCTTTTCACTGCATCGAAGAAAGAACAAAAAAAAACATGTCTAATAATTTTTTTCCTTTTCTTTTCTTTCTTTTTCTCTCTCTCAATAAAAATTACACTTGCTTACATTTCTAAATTGTACATCGACATTAATTAAAAATTACTCTTTATTCTCTCATTTTTTCTCTCTCTTTTCTGCTGTTTTTTTTTTCTTTTTGCATTTGACAGAAAAGAAGAAGAAGCAGAAAGACGAAAGAAACGAACTAAATTTAGCCGCCTAAGATGTTAAAATATTTTATATTAATATTTCTCTCTTTCTCTCTCTCTTGTTTTTTATGTATAAAAAATCATCTACTTTGAACAAATCGTCGCACTTTTCTCGCGCGCGCGGGAGGAAAAAATCGATCCCAGGGGAAAAAATATATAACACTTACATGGCTATTCGCTAATTATCGCGCAGAAAAAAGGGGGTGGAAAAACCGTAAATAAATTTAATTACAAAGTGTTTTCTCTCTTCCTTTTCTTATCCCTTAAAATTAAATCTTCCTTTTGCTATTTTGTATGCTTTTTAAAACTTCCTTTTCTCTCTTTTTCTCTTCTTTTTCCCCTCCTTTTTAATCAATTTAAAGAAGAAGAATCGCAACCAAGCAGAAACACCATTGAATGGATCCATTTTCACTCTCATTCCATCATTTTTTTTCTACTCTTTTTTATCATTTTTTTTTGCTCTAAGTTTCAATGAATCAAAGTTTTTGTCAATGAATTTTCTCTATTTGATGATTTTTTTTTTCTTTTTCTATGCCATTATTTTTTCTTTTTATTTCGTCACGCAAAGTTCAATCTTTTTTATTTTGCTATAAAATGTTAATGAAATTTTTCAAAAAAAAAAAAAAAATAATGAAAAAATAAAGATAATAAACTTCATAAAGAAATGAATACAAAAAAACAACTAATAATTGCAGATTTTTGCTCTTTTCACCCACTTTTTATCTTCCCCTTTTTTCTTATTTTAGGCAAAATTATGCACAAAAAAATCAATCAATTGTGAATTTTTGCAAGTCTCTCAGAATTTTAATTTGGGGGTGAAAAAAAAGCAAAGAAATAATTCAATTTGCCGACTTGAGAATGAAATCAATGGAAAAGTCTTTAAATTTGGCATGAGCGTCGCAATTGGCAGTCTTGTCAAGATTACTTTTTATGTTGCAGAGAATATTCTTTCCACTCACTTTGCCCGCCGCCGCCACACGCGGCTCGGCGGCCGGCGTCACGTTGTTGTTGTTGTTGCGCGCCAAGAGGCGCACCAGGCGCCGCTCGTTCACGCGCATCGCGCCGCACATCCTGGCCGCCGCGCGCCGCCACTCCTCCACGCCAATGATGCTTCCCGTCAGCTGCACCGCCGCCCGCAGCCGCCGCCTGCCCGCCCCGCGCCGCCGCCGCCGCCCCTCGCCGCCGGCTGGCTTTCAGCTGGGCTTCACCTGGCCGTCGTCGCGCCGGATCGTCTGCTGCTGCAACAAGGCAAGTTTCTTCAGCGGAATTGCAGCCGCCTGTCCGCGCCGCGCCGCGCGCGCTTACCTGATAGGACGACGTCGTCTGCTGCGTCTGGAACACGCCGGTGCCCGCCTGGCCGCCGGCGCACCGCGCCCGCGACGCCTCCTGCCCGCCGCCGCCCGACGCCTGGCGCACGCCGGCCGCCGCCTGCCCCACGAACGGCTGCGTCACCGGCGAATGCCTGCGAAACCAACAAGACAAGTTTGTAAAAAAATTGCTAAAACCCGAATGTTTCGATTTAAGCAACAAGTTTGGAATTTATTTAACTCGAAAAACTGTCTTTCAGGACTTGAAGTGCTTCGACGGGTGCCTGGAAAACTATAAAAAGTCAAAATTGCCATTTTTCAGCAAAGCGAGTTCAAAATTTTGCATTAAAACAGCTGCGAAATTTGCCAAATTTACTTCAAAATAGGGGTAAGTGGGGCAGCTTCAGATTCAAAATGCTGTTCCAACTTTAGGATTTTTTCTTGAAAAATCGGCTGAATATATTGAAATAATCACAACGCTCAAATAAGCTCTTGTCTGTTGAGCTTCAGAAAATGCCTTTCATTGGGCATTAAAACTGATCCTTTTTCCTCTGAAGGAGATTAAAAATAATATTGTAAATTATCTGAAACTGCCCCGCACGGGGATGTTTCGGATTGCTCTGGGGCAGCTTCAGATTTTCACTGATATTTACCTTAAATTCCATTGTGGAATTGTAAAATCGCGGACAAATGATCACTTTGAAATCTCTTCTACGCACTGAAACTGTTTAATTCCCTAAAAATCGCCTTTAAAGTAATATTTTCGCGACTTTTCTGGACCCTTGCACGCACTGTCAAAATTTCTGAGCGAAAAGCAAGTTGCCCGTCATTTTTCCTGTATCGCAACGCCACCATGCGTGAGTGGTGGCAACTTGACGCGCCGCGAAAGTGCCGCGCAAAATGTTTCGCGATTGATGATTGATTTTCGCGTGTATTTTCTCACTTTTCCACTAAGAAGTCGTTTAACGTGATGAAGCAATGCAGCACAGAACGGCACTTTGTGAAAAATCTTCAATATTTGCCACAAGAAAATTTCGACCGTGATGTTGCGTCAGACTGTCAGAGCGCGCTGTTGTCAGTCCGTGGCGATCCGAAACTGCCCCGTGTGCAGTGTTTGTGCATTTTCCACCACCCACTGAAAGGGCCGTGCCAAGGAGGAAAAGTTCGGGCATATTTAGAATCTCTACTTAATTCTCAATAACCTTTGATTGTGTTTCACGCGAATTGTGGCTTTTTTAATGGAGAAAACACGCAATCAATTCGGCAGCAAAATTCTAGTTTGTGAGTGATTTTCAATTTTCACTTATTTTATCTAAACAGTCAAGGCTATCCTGAGCAAATTTCCGTCAATTGTAGTCCTTAAGGACTACAAACATTGTGTGAAGACCAGGAATTTATTCATGCAAAAATCTCTGAGAAAATTAAGAAATCTGAAGCTGCCCCAATCTGAAGCTGCCCCATTTACCCCTACTCAAAATGCCTTCAAATCGTTCGTTAAAGTGAAAATATTTCTCTGTATTTTTTATTTTGTAAATGTTTTATTGGTATTTATTGAAATTTTTCACTAAAATGTGGCAAAATTAATAGAAAATCTGAAAATATTACTTTTCAAAGTCGATTTTTAATGGTTTTTGAGTCGATTTTATACAAAAAATCAACTTTTCATACTTTAATTGAACTTTTTCTTAATGTTTTCAAGTGAAAAATTTAAAAGATATGAGAAATATTCATTTAAAGTCCAGAAAAACATTTTAGGATAATTCTGAAAATCTACAAATATTTTCCAAAAAAGACGTTTTATGCATTTGACTGCAATTTTTGAGACATTTTTCTTGGGGAAAAATTCTTCAGCGTAAACAATGAAAATTCGACTTTTCATTCGCAAATCATGACAATTTTTTTCCCATTTGTGCTTTTTAGATAAAAAAGCTTTTTTTCTATTGTCTCATAAGATAAAAATCTTAAAATTCTTGTACAGAAAGAACAAATAAAAGACTTTTCAAAAATACATGAAGACGAAAACTATGATAAATCGACTTTTCATAGTTTTCCATTCACCCGTCGACTTGAAAAGTGTGAATTGAACTCAAAATCATTTAGCAAACATCAAAAACAGACTTTCTAAAGCATTTGTTGCACTTCTGTGAGTTTTACGGATCAAACATCTTACGAAAAAGCGGAGAAACAATTCAGAGAATAAGGATTTCTTCACAAAAACACAATTTTGCTTCATCTAAATGATTTTAGGAAGTGAAGAACTCGTTGCAACTTTCAGTTCACACCATTTTTTATAAGCTGTCATAAATATAAATTCGCTAAAAGACGTTGCAAGATTACGATTAGTATCTTATACGAATGTGTTGAATTAATCTTCTGGCAAAGCCTGAAACGCGTTCGTTACGTGAAAATCAAGAAAATAGACAAAAATGATGTTTTTATTGAATTTTTCTAACCATTTGTGCACATTTCAATGCTCCAAATTGAGGTTATGTGTTTCCGGACATCATTTGAGGCTTTTCAAGGAAATTAATTGATTTTCCAATACAATTTCAAGTACATAAAAACCTATGTTTTCATTTCCTTCATCGTTCTCGCGTATTTAACGTCTTCCCGGACATTCTGGTCAGCAGAATCCTTTAAGAATCCCTTCGGAAACACGCCAAATGTTAGGAAAAATCACAGATGAAGATATCTTGTCACTGGAATTCACTAATTTGCCCTGACAGCTGAATTTCGTATTAAATAAACTCCAAATTATGCTTTGGAACGTTTTTTCGTTCGCATTTCATTCGTACTTTACACTAGCGCCACCAGGCGGCCGCCAATATAAGTTATGAAAATCTTAATGTTGCAACGAGGCGAAAATCATCATTTAATTGTGTCAAAAATGGCCTGAATTAGGTCAGAAATCGCTGATAATTGTCAAAATCGAAAGAATTCGATTATACTAAAGTCCTTAAGTTTGAATAAATGATAAAATCGAAGACATAAAGACATAAAAAAGCTCAAAGTTTATTTGATTAGTCTTCAATTTGTCCAAATCCGACATTTTGACAGCGAATCAAACCCAAATAATTCCTTAAAGGACTGAATAATGGGAAAAAATTCACTCTCAGTCCGAAAGGAAGAAAGAAAATGACTCAAAAAGTAATTAGAAAGTCCATAAATTTATCCCATTAATTCAACATTAAAGACTTTCTTCTGTCTTCAGCCTGAGAAAATGCTGAAATCGCATAAATTTCCCTCCATTTCTGCATTATTGATCAGCATTTTCTGTCCAAAATCCACCGAAATCACGCTCACCTGACGCTGCCGCCGCTGGGCGGCTGATGCGGCGTGATTGTGACGGCGGAAACGGCGGCGTGTCGGAAATCCACGCCGTTCTCCACGGGAATTTGCTGCAGCGGCGCTTGCGACGGCGCCGGCGCTTGCTGACTCGCCGGCTGCACGCCGAACGTCTGTCCGGCGGCCGACGATCGACTCGTGCGTCCCGGCGTCACAACAGCAGCGTCCGTCGGTCCGTTAACGGCCATGCTGTTGAATTGAACTGCAAAAAAGCGAGATTTCAGCTCAGAATTCAGTGGAAAATGAGAGTTTTTGGGTCAAATTTCACCCAGAATTCAGAGAAATTGCTAAGAAAAATCAATTTTCAAGGTGTTTTATGACTAAGAATCTCTTATTCCTTCTTGAGAAACACTTTTGCAATGCATAAATTCATTAAAAAGGCTTTTATTAGGGCAAAAGTCACTCTTTAAACGCTTCTAACCATGAAATCTTGGTAAATATTAAAGCTTTTTGACTCATTTTGCATAGAAAATGCTTTTTAGCAAACGAAAAAAGGACTTAAATTAACATTTGACTTGTTTAAAACTCATTTTAAGCTATTTATTGATTGATATTTAGCTTTTCCGACACTTTGAACACTGAAAATGTGACTTTTGACTCTAATTTATCAATTTCTTCATCAAATTGTGCATTAAAATACTTAAATAATTATGCTTTTTGACTCATTTTGCATACAAAATGCTGTTTGGCAAACATTTTAAGTTATTTATTGATTGATATTTAAGCTTATTCTTTATCTTGAGTGCTTTCTTCAGCTTGAATTTCATCCAATTGATGTGTTTTCCAATGAAAATTCAACTTTGGACTCTATTTTATCAATTTCTTCATCAAAATGTGCATTAAAAGACCTACATATTGTTGAAATTTGAGTAGGGGTAAGTGGGGCAGTTTCAGATTCAAAATGCTGTTCCAACTTTAGGATTTTTTCTTGCAAAATCGTCTGAATATATTGAAATAATCACAACGCTCAAATAAACTCTTGTCTATTGAGCTTCAGAAAATGCCTTTCATTGGGCATTAAAACTGATCCTTTTTCCTCTAAAGGAGAATGAAAATAATATTGTAATTTATCTGAAACTGCCCCGCACGGGGATGTTTCGGATTGCTCTGGGGCAGTTCTAGATTTTCACTTATATTTACCATAAATTCCATTGTGGAATTGTAGAATCGCGGGCAAATGATCACTTTGGTTTCTAATCTACACACTGAAACTGTTTAATTCCCTAAAAATCGCCTTTAAAGTAATATTTTCGCGACTTTTCTGGACCCTTGCACGCACTGTCAAAATTTCTGAGCGAAAAGCAAGTTGCCCGTCATTTTTCCTGTGTCGCAACGCCACCATGCGTGAGTGGTGGCAACTTGACGCGCAGCGAAAGTTCCGCGCAAAATGTGCTTCTAGAAATTTCTGCTCTAATCAGAGATTTTCGCGTGTATTTTCTCACTTTTCAACTAAGAAGTCGTTTAACGTGATGAAGCAATGCAGCACAGAACGGCACTTTGTGAAAAATCTTCAATATTTGCCACAAGAAAATTTCGACCGTGATGTTGCGTCATTCTGTCAGAGCGCGCTGTTGTCAGTCCGTGGCGATCCGAAACTGCCCCGTGGGCAGTGTTTGTGCATTTTCCACCACCCACTGAAAGGGTCGTGATCAGGAGGAAAAGTTCGGGCATACTTAGAATCTCTACTTAACTCTCAATAACCTTTGATTGTGTTTCACGTGAATTGTGGCTTTTTAATGGAGAAAACACGCAATCAATTCGGCAGCAAAATTCTAGTTTGTGAGTGATTTTCAATTTTCACTTATTTTATCTAAACAGTCAAGGCTATCCTGTGCAAATTTTCGTCAATTGTAGTCCTTAAGGACTACAAACATTGTGTGAAGACTAGAAATTGATTCATGTGAAAATCTCTGAGAAAATTAAGAAATCTGAAACTGCCCCATTTACCCCTATTTGTTCAATAATTAGCATGAATTTGAAAGCCTTGAGTGGATTTTGGGGTTGAAATTCAACCAACCTTGGCTGCTGGGCGCGTTGGGATTGGCGAGCGGAATGGCGAGGCGCGCGTTGACGGCCAGCAGATGATCTCTCCTGGCCACGAGATTGTTCACGTGCTCCTCCAGGCGCACATTCTCCGTTTGCAGCTGATGAAGGCAGGACAGAAGAGAAGCAACTGCGGGAAAAGTCAAAGAATAAGTCTCAAATTCATAGAAAAACTGTAAAGATTTCCACTCACTGTCGAAGTGCTGCGCCTGTTCCATGAGGAACTGAGATCCCTGCTCCCACTGTCGCTCCAGCAGCTGCTCGAGACTCTGCGGCGTGGTGCCGGAGCCGCTGCTGGAGCCCGAGCCGGCGCCCAGCATCGTGGTGAGCGACGGCGGACCTTGTTGCGCCGCAGCCGCTTTCACGGCGGGCTTGCCGGGGAACGGCGGCCCCACGAGCTGCGGACTCGTGTCCATGGCCGGCGCGGTGTACACACTGTGCGCCTCGATCTCCATGTGCAGCTGATCCGACATCTTCTGCGCCACGCTGCTGGCCGGATTCAGCTGATTGCCCAGCATGTGCGTCACGTGGATGCCGTTCTGGAAGATCTTCAGCTCCTTCGCCTCCGCCTGGCCGCTCTTGCGGTTGCGCTTGCGCGCGCCGCCCGCCTCGGAGCCGGGACTGCTGGGCGGCGAGTCCTTGGGCGCCGGCGCCGACGAGCCCGGCTGCGATTCGTACGAGAACTTCAAGCCGCCGAAGCTCGTGGCGCCGAACGACGACGTGTCCGGCGTGCGCGCCGTGCTGTGCGGCGGCGGCGTGTCCATGGGGCCGCGCGGCCGCACCTTGGCCTCGAAGCTGCTCGCGAAATCCCCGCCGTGGTTCTGTCCGCCGGCCGGCGTGTGACTATTTGTGACGGAAAAAGGAGATTCAGTGCTTGAAAATGAGCCGCAACTCTCGCCGCCCGCCGCCGATGACGCCCTGGCCGCCGGCCGTCTCTTCGCCGAGCGCGACTTACTACAGTTTTTTTTTTCGTGTGCATTTTTTTCGACAGAGAAATTCAAGTGCGCGCGGTTTTTTTTGCAATCGCGAAATGTTTTTTGTGTGTTTGTTTGTTTGGTTTTTGTGTGATTTTCCACACACACAAAAAGGATGAGAGAAGATGAATGAAGAAATTACAAAATGTGAGACACAGAAGACAAAAACACAAACACGCACAACACACATAAGAAATGAGAGAAAGAAAAGTGTTTGTGAATAAGATTTTCGGGAAGGAAACTGAAAAAAAGGCCACAAAAATTCGCACAAACGACGAGAAATATTCACGCCAAATTGCTGTTCTTTTGCAAAAGAAGCAGAAATTTCTTCGTTCTTTCAATTGAGGGGTTCAGAGGTTGTCATTTTGAGTGACTCTAGTTTAAAAATTGTGATAAAAATAGAGAAAATCCCAATATTTTAGGCCAGAATTCAATTTTAGACCGAAAAATACACAAAAACATTGATTTTAAGCGATTTTTCAATGATAAAAGCGCTTAAAAATCATTCAAAATCACGAAAAACAATTTATTATGACACTTTTAAGCTATTCTTATTGAGAATAGATTTTATAGAAGCATGGAAAATGTGTTAAATTGTGAGTTTCTTTACAAAAATTCATCAAAAATAACAAAATTAACCGATTTTCGTGCTTTTTATGAAGCATTTTTCATACAAAATGTCTAAAATTCGTCAGAAATTACTTGGAAAATCGCTTTTTTTCCTCTTTCTTCTGAATTCTATACAAAATCTTATTGATTTTCTCACTTTACTCCAATTAAACACGATTTTTATCGTCAATTTATCAATTTCAGAGCGCTAAAGTGCGCTTTAAGCCCCAAAATATTCTATGATTTCATCACAATTCACACTAAAACCTAACCTATGAACCCCTTCGCTTTTGCCTCTCTTTTCATCTTCAGCGTCAATTTCCTATCTTGAATATTTCCCGCCCAAAAGCAACAAGACAAAACAAAGCGAAGAAGAATGAAAACAAACAAACGACGCAAAGAATGAAACGCTTTTTCTCACCTCGATCGTCGGCCGGACGCCGCGCTGTCGTCCTGCGCCGGCGTCGGCGTGGCGCGCGGCTGCGGCTGCTTCTCGTACGTGATCTTCAGCATGCCGCTGTCGCTCTGATGCACGGCCGCCACGCCGCTCGTGGCCAGAATCTGGCTGTGAACGTGCGGCGAGAGATTCTGCATGGCCGCGGCCGCGCTGGCCGGCGGCACGGCCTGCTCCAGCGCCGGCGCGTGCGCCATCAGCGGCGACGCCGCGGCCGCCTGCACCAGCGGCGACTGGCGCTCCATCGTCTGCAGAATCACGTTCTGATGCGTCGCCGGAACCTGAGAAAAACAGCCGCGAAAGCGTCAATTTGCAAAATTCAAAGGATTTCCCGGAAATTGTGGCGTCAGGACGAGTTCAGGATGTGATTTTGGCTGCAAAAGTTGCAGAACTTTCATGGCTTTTGTGCTTTTCTAACAAACAAACGTGAAAATTCAATGTTTTTCCTCCCTTTTTAGGTCACAAAACATCATTCAAGATTGTTTTCTTCTAGAAAAGTGTTTTAAAGACTGACTTTTGCCTTAAGAAATGCTCTTTAATTGAATTTATGCATTGCAAAAGTGTTTCTCGAGAAGCTTTATTGTTTTCTTGTCTTGATTTTGTGACATTAAAAGCTAAAAAGCGCCTTAAAACACAAAATGAAGAAGAAAAAAGCATTTTCTCAGAAGAAAATGTCCATGAAATTGATGAATTTTGCTCTATTTTCTAAAGAAAACTCAAATCCTGATTGAATTTTACATCTTTTTGCCATTTTTATCCGAATTTGAGTTGAATTTTGGCTGAAATCACATCAAGAATCGACTTTTTGACTTATTCTTGCTAATTTCAACCGCGATTTCTCACAAAAACACGCTTGAAAACATTTTCTCACCTGCACAATCGGGCTGGCGCGCTGCTGCGGCGGCTGCGCGGCGGCGAGGCGGCCCATGGCGAAGCCGCCCAGCTGCTCGGCGGAGCGGTTGTGGATGGCCTGCTGGAAGAGGCTGCCGGCGGTGCTGGTGCTCGGCATGGACGGCGACATGAGCGTCGCCGTGCTGTTGTTGTTCGTCGGCAGACTGACGCCGGCCACGGACGCCGTGGACAGCGGCACGGACACGCGGATGCTCTGCGTGGTCGTGCTGGCCTGCAGCTCCGCCGCGAACGGCGACGCCGCCGATTGCACGCGCCCCAAATCGCCCACGTCCTTGATCACGGGCGGCTTGATGATCGACGTCGCCGCCAGCAGCGGCTGGCCGCCGCCCAGCTGCTTCGCCATGGCCAGCGTCGTCGTGGACGACGTCAGCAGCGCCGCGCCCTCCGCCGGCGACGACGTGGCCGCGCTCTCAGTGCGCATCTGCGAAAGGCGAGAGAAAAGCGTGAGATTTGAGAGACTTTTCTGGCGAAACGTCGCGATTTGGAGGGAAATTTGAAGGATTTTCAGGCAGAAAAAGGATAAAATGACGTTTTAGACGTTGAAATTCACTTCAAATTGAAAAATTATACCGTAAAATTCATGATTTTGCAATTCAACAGTCAATTTTGGCTCTTTTTCCATCATTTTCTTGGCCGAAATTCTTAATTTTGCATATTTTTTGACTCCTTTGAGTGTTTTTCAAGGATAATTCAGACTGTTTGTGTTGTAAATTATGCTTTTTAACTTCTAAAAGTGCCTAAAAAGACTATTTATAGTTAGATTTATTCATCAACACAATGTCTTCAGTGCAAAACCATCAATAAAAGTCCGTTTTTCACAGGATTTTGAAGATTTTCTCCGTGAAAAGAGTGAAAATTCTCTCTTTCATTCCTGATAATGCTTGATTTTCTCCACTTTATCACTAAAGCGACTTGATTAAAGCATTAAATCAAATAATTCTTCCCAATTTCTGCCTGAAACATGCAAAAATCCGTTGAAAAGTGACCAAAAAGTGGACTCAAAACTGTTTTGCGGGCGAAAAGCGGCGCCAAACTCACCTTCTTTACCTCGCTGAGGTCCAGCTTGTCCACGGAGCTGAGCGGGATGAGCGTCACGGAGACGTCCTTGATGAGATCCCTGCAAAAAGGCGCGCCACTTCAGTGGAGGGGAAAATGGACAACGGCTCTGGCCGCGATTTCTGACTCACTTGTTCGCGTCGTCGACGCTGTTCGCCTTGGCGTCGGCCTTGCGCTTCTTCGCCGCCGCCGTGGAGGCGGGGCCGCCCTTGCCGCCGCCGCCCTCGCCGCCGAATACTGATTCCGAGTTCACCACGACGCTCTCCGTGAAGTTGGACGTCGTGAACTTGCCGGCGTCCTTCAGCAGCTCCTTCGAGCTCTGCAGGATCGACGGCGCGATGATCGAGCTGGCCTTGGTCGTCGTCACGCCCGCCGCGGCGGCCAGCACGCCGGCCGGCGCCGCCTTGGCGGCCACACTCGCGTCATCCTTCTTCGACGACGCCTTGGTTTTGTCGCGAAAGTCCTTCTCCTTCGCCGCCGACGCCTTGCCGGCGCCGCGGCTGTGCTTGTCCTTGTCCTTGACGCCGCCGGCCGCCGAGGAGCCCATCTTGCCGGCCACGGGCGCCGCGCTGATGCTCCTGCTGGCCACGGACGTGGCGGAGGCGCTCGAGAGCGCGGACGCCATTTGCGGCGTCGCCGCCGCGCCGCCCGGCGTCACAGCGCCGGCCGCCGCTCCGCTGGTCGCCACCGCCTTGGCGGACGAGCTGGACTTGCGCTGCTTGGTCGCGGCGGCCGCCGCGGGCAGCGCGGACGCCGAAATCGCGGTCGTGCTCGGCTGCGCGGCGCCACTCTGCGCCGCCGCCGCTGCCGCCGCTGCTGCCGCCGTGGTGGCCTCGCCGTCCTTCTCCGGCGACGACGGACTGTCACTGCTGCCCGCCTCGTGCGTGACGGGCTTGTACGGCGGGATCGGCTTCACGTTGCCGCCCTTCTTCTGCGGTACAACCAAAAGAGGCACAGCGTGATCGCGTGAATGCGCGCGTGCGGGCGAATCGCAAATACTCACGAGTTTGCTGTAGTGATGCTGGCAGTAGCCGCAGTACTTCACGTTGTCCAGGTAGTTGCCCGCCTCCTCGCACAGCAGCCCGAGCGTCTGGGCGCACGTCACGTGGAACTGCATGCGGCAGCCGGTGCGGTTGCACTGCATGCACGCGCCCATCGTGGCGCGGCTCACCTTGCCCATCTCCTCGCAGATGTAGCAATCTGCAAAAGGAGTTACTGTTCAGGCTCTGCGGACCCACAGGATGGCCTCAGATGGGATTTGGGGCCGGAAACCGGCGGGAAAACAGCAATTTTGGAGCGCAAATGGCAAAAATCGCTCAATTTGCATGATTTCTTGGCTCATTTCTTAGTTTTTTACCCAATTTTCAAGACAAAAATACTAAATTCACCAGTTCAACAATCAGTTTCTGTTGGAATCTTCAATTAATCTTGTTGATACGCAAAGAAATCCTTAATTTGAGCATAAAAACTGATTGTTTTCTCTTATCAAAGACGCAAAATTAACAGAAATCGTTCAAATTTCACGCAATTCAGTGATTATTTTCAGAAAATCAAAGAATTATTGTAGAAATATTGTAAAAACAAATCATAAAAGACCTTTTCTGTGATCAAAAGCTGAAAAATCACTTCAATTAATCTTGTTCACACGCAAAGAAATCTTTAATTTCAATATCAAATTGCATCTTTAGATAAAAACTGATTGATTTTCCTTATCAAAGAAGGTAAATTCTAAGAAACGCTTCAAATTTTACGCAATTCAGTGATTATTTTGTCAATTTTCACGCAGAAAATCGAAGAATTATTAATCAAAGACCTGCAATTTATCCAAAAAGTGAACAAGAACTCGAGAAAAACTTGTAAAAACCACTAAAAATTGTCGTTTTAGCAAAAATTCGCCTTTTTTCTCCTTAATCTCAATTCATTTCCTGAGTTTAAGCAATTTAGCTGTCTTAGAAAGAGAGTTTTAGTGAACAAAATTCGCTGATTTCAATTAATTTCCCAAGAAATCAATTTCTAAAAGCTTTTCAGGCTGAAAAACAGCAGAAATTCCTTCTTTTTGAGTTGTTTTTCAACTCAAAATCGCCTTTAGCTTGAGATTATTGCATTTTGAACTCGAATAAATGATATTTTGTCCAATATTTCGATTGAATTAGTCAATAAATCAAATTAAAATCTGGTTTTCAATCAATTTCCTTGGAATTCAACGCTCAAAACACAAAAGATTCCCTTTAATTGCTCAATTTCTGCACGAATTTTATCGAAAAGCAGCAGAAATTCCCTGTTTTTGGGCAAATTCAGTGTGCAAAATGCATTTTCTCGTCGATTATCTACAAATTGACTGCAATTTGAGGACTAAAACAGTCAAACACGAGTCGTGAGAGGGAAGTTTTGGCCAAATTGCGGCCCTAAAAGCGCCTTCGCGGAAGGACGAAGGCCGAGAGGGACTCACTCTTGGCGTAGCGCTCGGCCGGAATGAGCTGCAGGATGATGGGCTCCATGGTGGTGACGTTGCCGAAGCGCACCTCCGGGATGTACAGCGCGCACACGACGTGCGCCCAGCTGGCGTTGTCCGTCTTCTTGAGCGCGCCGTCGCGCGACGGACACAGCTCGCAGCGCACGCGCGCGCTCCTCTCCTGGCTCTCGCACTTGCGGCAATACCACGGGCCCGTGGGCACGGTCACGATGCCGTAGCAGGCCTGGTGCACGGCCACGTTGCAGTGCAGGCCGTCGCAGTAGACGAGCGGGTTCTCTGGCCAGCCCCGCTCGTCGGAACACACGCAGCAGCCTCCAACCATCTCCTTCATCGCTCGCGCCGCTATTCACGCATATTCGCGAAGAATAGGCACAAGGATTCACGCGCGCTTCAGTCCCTGCGCGACTTTTCAGTCCACTTCACTGCCTTTTCTCACTCTTCTGCACTGGAAAACAGCCAAATTCGCACTTTAGGATGCGCTTTGCTCGCGCGCCGCGGCGCAGTTTCACTCCCGCCGCCGCTCTTCAGCTTATTTCGACGGTTAACCCTTTGAAATCGAGGGAAAAGCAGGGAATTTCCCAACTTTAGACTCAGTTTAAGTCAATTTTCACCATTTTTCCTGACTTTCTTACTTGAAATGTGTCAAAAAGACGATTTTTGCCCAGAAACTTCATGCAATTTGCCAAAATGCCTTCATTTAATGGGAAAACAACAAATAAAATCACGTTCTGACTTCAAACGAAGCACTTTTTGAGGTTTTTAAGTGTGAAAAATGCATCAAAACACTTGAAATTCCTTCCAAAATTGCAATATTTTCATTTCAACTTGTCAAAAAGCTAAATTTCACACCGAAAACAGACCAAATTGTGTCCACAAAAGATCAAAACACTCAAATTCCAGCTGAATGTGAGGAAATCAAAACAACCGACAAAGGGTTAACCGTGTTTACGTTGAAAATTTGCACTCAATTTGGCAAAAAAACAGTTTCAGAGCGCTTTTTGGCGACATTTTCCGCGCATTCGGTGACAATTTTCAGCCGCAGAAGCCGCAGTTGGCGTTGGAAAAGCGGCAAAATTTCGCGGAAAAGCAGCGCGCGAGTGAAACTGCGGTGAAACGCGGGCGAAACATCGCGCCAGCGACGCGCCTCACCTTTCTCGCCTCTCCGACGCCGCTGCGCTGCGGCCCGCGCGGCGCCTGCGGGGGGCTGCGGGCCGTGCGTGGGGCGCGCCTCGGGGGGTGAATGACCGGCTCACGCGGCGGCCGGGTCACGCGCACGGCGGAGCCGCCGCCATTTCCTCACCACTCGCAACGCGGATGCGCGCTCTGACGGACGCGCTCTGGACACCGCGCGGGGCTCCTCACGCCGCTGGCCGGCGCGGCATGGCGCGCGTGGGGCTGGGCACGGCCACTCGGGGGCACCGGGAGAGCGTCTCGCACGCACACACGCGCGCCACTGCGTGAAAACAGTCGCGAGGCGGAGAAAAGTCCGGCCGAACAAAAACACTCTCGCTGTGGCGCTTGGGGCGCGTTTCGCGGGCGCGCGCCACTCGCGTGGCCCTCGGACGCCTCGTGGGGGCGCTCTGCGGTCACTTGTGCGGGCTTCGGGGGCCCAACAACGCGGAATTGTCGCTTATTTTCCTCTGCGACACAACACACTTTGACACTTCGCACCACATACTGCTCAGCTTCGCCGCTGAGCTGGTTGGCGGCAGCACTTCGGCTTCCGTCGCGAATTCACCACGCGACGCCAGCGCCAGCGGCCGACACCGCAATCCCGCACGAAGGCGAAGCGCAGCCAACTTCGTGTCCTTTCCCGCGGATGATCTCAGCGCGGCGGACGCGAAAGCCGCGCGAGGGAATTTTAATCGCCATTTTTCGCGGTAAGTCTCCCACGAAACCCACCAAATTGCGCACAAATACACTCGCAACACTCCTGATAACGATATCGCGCATGCATATTAGTCCGGGCGACTGCGAAAAGACGTATTTTCGACGATTTTTATTAAGTCCATTTGAGGCTATGTTGCGTAATTCTTCCTGATCTTCTGCACGCTTTTCCAGGATTTTCCCTTGCTTCTGCCTCTTCTGCAGGGCGATGGTCATCATTTCTATTATATCTTGCGGCAAACGCTGGTTGAGTCAGCGATGCCGGACGACCGATGATTTTTGCAGCGTCATTTTGCCTCGCGGCGTTTCACAAGATGGCGGATGAAGTGACGCTGAATTCTGTGTTTCCTTTGCCATCGTTTTTGGGACTTTCAGCGATCTTCATCGCAGTTCTCAGGCTTTAGAAACTGTGGCTTCAGCTTCGGAAAAACTCCGGCTTTCCAAGGCAAGTGTTTCTTATGAGATCTTATTGGCATTTTCTCCTGTTCTTGCGACTTACAACATTTCAAGGAAATCTCACTCTTTTATTTTCTTTATTGTGAATTGCCAGAATTTTGCCTTTTAGTCTGTATCTTTACTTGAAAGCGTAAATTTTCTTCTCAAATTTCTCTTTATCATCGTCTTTTTCAGGTTTCGCAAGCGGACAAAATGTCTCCGGACAGGTTTCCAGCGCCATCTTTGCTAAATTTCTCGACAAATGTTTTCTAAAATTGCAGGAAGAGCGTTTTTGCTGAGTCAACACAAAAAGGTAAGTCAAGAGTATTTTTTCCAAAGCGATTCAATTTGCATCTCTCAAATGGAGAGACATGATCGAAATCCACGCGGACAGGAATTGCCCTCGTCCACCAGATCTTTGGCCGCATCTGGAGAGGAAAGAAAAGCAGTATCAAAATCTTATATTTTAATTTCAAGTGTCAAATTAATGCTGCATCAATTTGATTGCAGGATTAAACGATTGCGACATAAAAAGGCCCTTTTTTGTTGTTTCATAACATCATGATTTTCTTATTTTCCTTTACAATCTTCACTCGTTTTACACGATCTTTCAACATCCTTCACTCTTAAAGTGTTTAGATACAATTTTCACTATTATTTACTAAAATGTTTCGTTTTACACTTTGGTTGGCCAAATTTCGTCATCGAGAGATGATTTAACAGCTTACGAACCAAAATCGTTGCACTTCTTTGTTTTCTGCACCGAATCTTCATCGACAACAACAGATTTTTTTCTTCGAACAGAGAAGATCCTTCTTATTAATACTCTTGACAACTTCTTCTTTCTCCGAAACCTCCTGAGTTCAAAAAGCGTCAAAACTTCGAAATATTGAGAAACTTGAAAATTCAAGATATCTGCAATTCTTTGATCGTAACGAAACTTAAATTTCTTTTACAAATGGTTGCTTGACGCCTCCTGAACATCGATCGACGAAGACTTGTCTTCGATCCGGGCAGGATTACACGATCGCACCCGAGATCAAATCCTCCCATTTGCCAGTCGATGAATTGCGCCCTTTTCTAGCTTAAGAGACGCTCGCTTAATGCCTCTTGTGTCTTATTAACTAATTTAAATACTAACTCTAGGCGGATTTGCAGACAAAGCAATTTAGAGATTTAAGCGGTTCGGCGGTTTCTAGACTCGGTTAAAAAATGCCAAAAGCTTTTGTTCGTCGTTCTGCACTAAGACTTTGAAGCGTTTTGGATTCTTGAAGTGAATTCCTAAGTTTTCATATGTGTAACAAGAGATTTTCTTCGTAAATTCTTGGTCGAATCACAATCTGCAAATCAGAAAGGACCAAAGTTTTTTTTTAGTTCTGTTTTATGGCGTTTCACGCGTTCACTTTAGCTTTTAGCAATCCGTAATCACCTGATGCCTCAGGAATCACGCAATTTCCTTTTCACGGCTAATAAAAACCATTCCGTCTTTCTGAAAAGTACAGATTTACTTGCAAAACAGTGATTTGTGATTTGTAGCAAAGTCTGCGTATTTGTCTTGGGCAAGAACTGCATTTTCCGTATTTAACCATTCTGCTGAATTGATAATGTCGAGATTTCAAGGACTTCACAGATTGTCAGATATTAAATTGCTTCCAACAAGTGCGATAATGTCGATATATACTAAGAGAATTTAAAAAGGTTAAATCGATGATTGGAAATCAATCATTTCAGATGGTTTATAAAAGCATCTTCATTGTTTTTCTATTGTGACGTAATGATCTGACTTTGTGAGAAGGAGATTTGTAGTTCATTGAATTAAGGAGTGAAAGCAGAATTTAGATACAAAGGTTCTCATGAGTTTCTTCGACGTCAGATTATCGATAGTTTCTTTGCGCTTCTAAGAAATGAGCTCTTATTAAATGTTATTAAATGATCCTGCAAAACACGCTCATTTCTTATTTCTTTATTGACGTGACAAAACAGTGAAAGCAGAAGAGAAGAAATGAGGAAAAATGAAAAGGAATTTCTCAGAGAATTCCGTGATGAATTGAAGGAGTGGAAGAAGTTAGAAAGTCCCCTAAGGGCGCTCAGTCAGCCATTGATCTGAAGTGAAATGAAATGTATGTCCTTTGGACAGTTTTAGTTTGTATGATTGTGTGAAAGAGAAGCCTTAATCGAAGCTCCTTTTGAAGTTGAGTCTCAACAGAGACAATGAAAGAAAATCAGACGCGACAATTGAACTTTTGATGAGGAAATGAAATGAGTTTGTTTGTTAATCTTCCGAAGAAGGAGAAAGAATTGAATAGGATCTCGTTAAATTTTATTCACCACAATTATCTTGAATGCCAAAATCATTTCCTTGAAGAGCAAATGCAACTGAAAGATGGTTTGAAGCATAAGAAATATTCTATGATAACCAACAAAGTATCTAAATATTTTCTTTTGTATTTTCTTGAAGGTTTGAGAAGAATTGAAGAAGAAAATGTTGAAAATTGTGGTAATGACTAGGAATTTCCCTCTCAATTATAATTTATAACTGTGTTTCGATGTGTTTTTTTTCTCTCTAAACGATGCTTATCTAAACTAATCTGCATTGCTTGGTTTTCTAAAGAAAACACAAAAAATTAAGAATTCATTGCGAAATATTATTTTTCTCGCAAAAAATAACTTGAAACCTCGAGATTGTGAAATGAAGGCTTAAAAAATCAGAAATCAACATTTTTTCGGTAATCCAAAAATGCCAAAGTGAAACGAGTGCAACAACTTGAGAAGTCTTCTATTCCTTATTTCGGTGTTTGATTTATTACAACGGATTTTTCTTTAGATTTCTGCTATGAAAACCTTCTCGCACTTTCCACTTGATTGGCCAAAAACCTGAAGAACACCAGAAATTAATCTATTTGGCTTGGAGGGACAAAATTTTTCTTATTTACTTTATTATTTACGGTTTCCAGTGTAAGTTAGAATCTCCATGGAAAAATCCTTAAAGTCTATACCTAAAAATACGAAAATTTCTCAACAATTTGTTGAGAAATAATTGGAAAATAAGAAAAGCGTGGCTTTTAACGTGTCAATTGGCTTTGGTTTTGAAACCACTTACAAATAAGAAGTGAAATGTGTGAAGAAAACCTCTGAATTCACCACTTTCGAAGCCGAGCGCCGCGTCAGCCGGGCCGATGACAGTTTGCTGTGCGAAAGAGTGGTGAAAATCCAACAAAAGGAGTTCTTTTGTCGGCCGACTTTGCCTGCTGAAAAAGCCGTCGAGAGCCCAAGAAGCGCCCCCAGAGCCATGGCCAGCGAGTACGGAGCGTGTTTCGTGGTGCTGCAGCCGTTCGCCGAGGGCGGCGGCGTCCTGTACGGCCGCAATTCCTACGCGGCGAGGAACGAAGTGACGGAAGTCCTCTACTTCCCGGCCTCCGGCGACTCGGCGCCGCGACAGGTGAGCAAATGTGCGTCGGCGAATTCCCGGCGATGCGTGACGCTGTCGCTCTTGCTTTCGCAGTGCGCGTCCGTCGAGGTGGAGGGCGCCGCGGCGCTGCCCGTGATCCTGAGCGGCCCGGCCGGCGCGGCGGCGGCCGACAGCGGCGCCAACGAGCGCGGAGTGGCGCTGGGGCTGTGCTACGCGGCCAACGAGGCGCCCGGCGGCCTGGCGGGCGTCGAGCTGGTCAGGTGAGACGGCGCGCGCTTTCTCCGGGCGGCCGAAGCTAACGGTGCTCTCTTGCAGACTCGGACTGGAGCGCGGCGCCACGGCGGCGCAGGCCGTGGAGGCGATCGGGGCGCTGGTGGAGAAGCACGGCCAGGAGGGCAAGGATGCGCCGCGAAGCGCCTTCGTGGCGTGCGACGCCGGCGAGGCGTGGCTGCTGAGCGTCGTGGGAAATCTCTGGGCCGCCGAGCGGCTGACTGGTGAGTCGGCTGCGGATCCGCGGATTCTGCAGAAGTCTCGTGGTTTATTAATCAGTGGGAAGAATGCCGCAAAGTATTGATTTGCACTTCGTGGATGAAGAAACACAGTGGCGAGCGTGAAAATAGCATCAAATGCTGTTGTTCTGTTGAACGGGGCTAATTTTATTTATTTTTTTTTGGTAAAATAGTTGAGTTTTTAAACTTAGTCTTAATTCAGGGGTAAATAACCGCCGCTCGCGATTTGCTTCAGTGCCGACTGTTCAGCCCTGATTAACGTCGATCTTGGAAGGAAATAATAACGAAAGTCTGGATAAATTCATGGATAATTTAAGATTGAATCTTAAGTAACTGCCAAAATCGTTACAGACCGGTTTTACATTTCACTTATTTGTCATCAAATTACATCTTAAAACCAATGGAAACGGTAATTTTGGTTCCAGATCGGAATCATAAGAACTCAGTTCTGTAGTAAATTCAATTCCATTCAATTAATTAATAATTTAATTCCTACATAGCGCGAGGAGGAAAGCTAAAACCTTTTCGCCCAGCAACTCACTTTTAACTCGCACTTTCGTGGACAGAAATGACTTTGATGTGAAATTTACCTGGATTCTGATCGCTCTTTCCGTCTTTGAGATCACTTTTCTCGTACATTCCTTCAGGTAATTGCTCGTGGATTTGTAGGCGATCAAGCTACCAATGTCATATTCGCCCACAAGCAAAGCACTGCAATCCTGGCATTTAATTTGCCTTTGCAGCTTCTTCACAACAAATCTGAGTTAACTGAGAATGTTGACGAATTCGTCTGGCTATTTGTCTTCCTATTTCTTAGACATCTTGGTCTCAGAGAGGATCTCAGAATACGATTTTAGCTTAAATTCTGATAATTGGGCGACTGTGCATTAATTTCATGATTCTTTATGCTTTTCTTCTTTTAAAAAAATCGGCCAAGCGTTCGGCAGTTGCTTGACTCTTCAGTTACTCTATGATTCTGGCTTTGGCCAAAGCCATTCTTCTTCATCTTATCGATGAACCTCCAAAGTCTGAGGGTTTGGCACTTGGCAAAGAAGCGCTAAGAGCATATTCACTGTTCCGTAAAGGATCGTCTTAATAATATGATAATACGCTATTTTTCGTTCATTTTCCAATTCAATTGACTGGATTTTTTAACAACAAAATTGATAAATTAATACGGCTGATTTGGCGGACCAAAATTGAAGTTTGGGATGAGGAAAAAGGCTTCTGCGGATTTCGCGTATTTCGCGTATTTGAGGCAGTTTAGCTTGACGGCTTGTCACTGCTTTCTCTCTTCCTCACCAGAGGGATTCCACGCGTGTCCGCGCGGCCTAAACGTGCGCACGCGCATCGACAAGAGCTGCGCGGATCTGCGCGACAAGGCGCAGAGTCTGGGCGTGTGGGACGGCAGCGGAGATTTCAGCTTCGCCGCCGCCTTCGGCTGCTCCGCCGCGGCCGCCGCCTTCCCCGTCAACGCGCCGGCCGCCGAGGCGTCGTTCACGCTCACGCACATGTTTCAAGTGCTGCGCGCCGACGAGCTGCAGCAGGACGCCGTCGTGAGTAGTCACGTGTCGGCGCTGGCGGCGCGCGGCGCGCCGTGCCACTGGTTCACGGCGACGCCGAATGCGCGCGAGTCGGTGTTCAAGCCGTTCGTGTTCACGCGCGCGGCGCGCATCTCGCCGCTCACGGTGCTGGACGCCGGCCGGAGCGACCAGACGCTGCTGTTCAAGTACCACCGCGGCCGCAACTGGGCGGCCGTGGGCAATCTGCTGGCGTCGCTGGAGGAGACGTGCGTGGCGGAGGTGAAGGACGTGCTGGCGAGCGCGCACGACGCGGAGAATCACGAGCTGGAGGACTTGATGAAGGACTGCGTGGAGGCGGAAGTGAAGTTCTATCGCTAAGCGCCGCCGCCGCCGCCGCTGTTTATGATATTTTTTAACTTTGTGATTGTATTTCTCATTCCAAATGACTCTATTTTGTACCCTTTTTTATTTATGATTATCATCAGACTTTTGACTGTTTTCTCCCGCGCTTTTGCAAAAAGAAAAATATTGGCGAAATTGTCACGCGAAGACATATTATAAAGTATTATTATACAACACGACATTTAGGGCATTAAATTGCATCTCAGAGATTACGGCAAGAATTCCTCGAAGGCACAAACTTGTGAAGGCTTTAATTGAATGTCTTCTGTGCGCATGAGATCAAAAAGCGCCTTCGCATTATCAAATATTATATTCACAGAGAGAAAGAGGAAAAGCTTCTAAGCTGGAAGATGCGACAAGTATATATTATCTTATCATGGCAAAGAGATGCACTTTGCGTCACGGCAACACTTTGTAATCAATTGCAATGAGATTAATAATAACATGGCAATGATGTGCATTGAAAATGATTCTTGTGTTTTACGCTTCCTTTCTTCTGGAGTCCTGAAACTAATGTTTTGAAGTCAATTTGGTGCAGGCAAAAATGCAACTCTGCATCAATCAAGCGCCGGAGCTCATTAGTTTGGCGCCCAAAACTAATTTCACAAGCACAATTGCAAGTCACTTTTCATCGCCTCTTTGCGTCTCTGACACTTTTTTAATGGACTTCGAGAGAGTGTCAGACAAAAACATCCTCATTTGCAGCCTTTTCTGCACACTTTGTCGGGTGAATTTTTTTTTAACGCATGAAGTTGAATTGATTGTGCAAAATAACGACGGAAAAAATTGATTTTGCAAGTGACTTTTTGGGTTTCTCAGCAGAATTTTCGAGAGTGACTTTTGGATCGTGTGTTGTAATTATTTACAATGTTTGCTGGTTTTCTGGTCCTTCGACCCTGATGGACATTTTGGGCGCTCCTTTCCTGTGTTAGGTTCTGCTTCTCCCTGATTTTCAGGGGCTTCACATTGGCAAAGGAAGCGCAAAAGGCGTTGCGCCAATCTTAACAGCGTCGTAGCAATTCCACTGTTCCTTCGCGTATATAGGCTGCGATCTTATTCCTCGGTGGTTCAGCTTTCCGAACCAGGTGCGCTAGAAATATTCCAGGAACAAGGGCATTGTTCGTCCTCGAATAAGTCTCCTCCTTTTTCGAGGAGCTCCATTTATGCCGGTACGAAGGCTTATCTTCAGCATGATGCTTTGGTCCATCGTGCTGTATAAGCTGCTTCTTCAGCAAGCTCTGACTGAAGTGAAAGTAACACTCCGTTCTTGAGCAGCAGACGGGAAGACTTCGGCGAAAGCTGAGATCGCTGCTTCTTCAAAGTCTGTTCTGATGCTGGCCGGTGCACTGCTGTCCGCCGGCAGATTGGTTTTAACGATGTTATTTAGATATTTTTAGATATCTATTAAGTGCGACAATAGGACAAGGTGTCCTCTCGGATACAAATGAAGTTATATAAAAAAACAAAGAACTTCTAAGTGCAAACTTATATGCGAGGAGCTGTGACGGTACTTTGGAGTATCAGCTTCCTCTTCCACTCACGCGGCAACATATTCCAAAGGACAATTCCCTCAACAAAGAGTGAATTGTGGAGAATGCGACTCCTCGATCTCGGCACACTGAGAGAGGAAGACCTGACAGACGATCCGGCAGCCAAGAGCTCCACAAGATATCCAGGCAGGCCTATAAAAAGTAGCCGCGAAATAAAATCAACGGCTCTTTCTTCAATGTAGCTCAAGACTGGCGTGCCCAGTATCGTGCTTTCATAAGGAGATACATGATCAAATCTCCGCAATGTTCAGCACCTTCATTTACGCTTCCTTGCTTCTGTGGCTCACCAGCGTCTATACAGCGGGAAAAGATGTTCTATCCTTTTGAACATTTGGAATTTGACGATTGCGGAGCGGGATTTTTACCCGCGGTCTTGCAAATAACGTGATTTAGATCAAAATTCACTTGTAAATAGCCTGGACTCCTTCCGCGGAAGTCTCAAGCAACCAATTCCTTACCGCAGATCTGCCGAGAGCAACACCCTCGTGGAGTATAGCATTGATGATGGTCAGTGCGGAGTAGTAGTTAATCGACTACCAGAAGTTCCCTTCCTCTGATCTCCGCCGAAGGGCAGAAGACTTCAAATTATTCAGGTTGTCCGCCCAGAAAAGCGCTCGTTATCTTGGACACATTTAGGTGTCCCAGGAGTAGAATCTCCCATTCCTGAAACAGAGGCCAGAAGTGGGTCCTCCGGTCGGCACGCGCCATCACCCTCAGGACGGTCTTTTTGCTTTTTCGGCACAAAATAAGGTTTTTTCCACCTTGCTGGGCAAAAGGCTGCTGCGGCGCGCCGTGATGAGGGTTCTAGCAGCGGAAAACGCCCTCTGACGGCGCTCATGTCATGGAGATTATCAATGTATCCCGAGCCAAACATTTTAGGCTCGGATACTGATCCCCATGCATCTCCCACCACACCAGTGGCTTATCCACAGGGTTCTTCAATTACTGGAATTCTTTCTTGTCGTTTATTCCTTTCTTGGACTCTCCTTTCCTTCTTTCCTTGCGCATTTGGGTCAAGGATTGCAGGCAGAAGCATTTCCTCACTCAACAGAAATCTTCTGTCGAGATTTCTGTCGATTTTCTTTCAAAGCTTGTCAATTCAGTCTAAGGACTTTATTTGTGTGGTGTCCTGGATAGCCTCCGGTTGTCCTGTCGCACTCTATCCTCTTGTTCTCACGCTCACTCAACTCACTTGTCACACCGTCGTCCGCCATCTTGTCCCGCTGCGTCAATGTCAATCCGATCCTCCTTTCCCCACTCCCCGCGCCCTCTCTCCGCCACCACAATTTGCATAAGAAATTCTGGATTAGATGAAAGATTTGTAAATATTTTAAGCAAATTTAGAATGAATTCCTTATCAAAATGAGGTTATAATACATAATTTATCAAATTCTACACTGTCTTTATCGATGTATTTGTGGGTTTGAGTCTCAAATATCAGGATTTCCAGATTTTCGTGCGCTTTGCAGCAGTTTTCCGCCCCTCGCGATGGGCGCAATTCGTCGGAAATGCAGTTTGCATTCGCAGAAATCAAAACCATTGATCAAATAATGTGTGAAACAATTTCGCGCAGCGGCAAAAAGTGTGTCTGCTGCGCCAGAGAGACGCGAAGGGTGTAATTTGGTCAGTATTTTCTCTTAAAATCAATTAAAGATTCGCACATTTCGATGCGAATCTTCGGGCTTGTGGATTTTTGCTCTGGGGCGCGCGCAAGAAGAAGACATTGTCGAATGGGCGCAGTTTTGTGGCACACAAAATCAATTTCTGCCAAAAAGTGGCATCGTAAAAATTAATATTTCATGAGGTGAGCATGTTTCAAGTTCATGAATCTTCTTCACTTCTCCCGTGTGTGCGCAAAGCGGCGACAAATTACCGCGCCAAGGCAGTGTTTCATAATCGGCCAAAATATTGGCTGTGCGCGTCTGCAAAATATCATCGTCGACAGAGATTGAAGGTGAAGAGAGAAGAAGAAGTCTTGTTTTTCTCAGCCATCGGCCAGAGAAAGTTAATTCGCGCCTATTCGCGTCTCTCTGCAGAATCTCTGCACTTTTTCATAATCACCACAATTTAGGCACAATTAATTGCACTCTTTAAGCCAAACAAATGGAGTCAAAGAAGTCAAAGAATCACGCGATAATAAAATGCGCAGTTTTATTGTCTGTTCAAGTGCAATAAATAAAAATACCGCGTGTTCTTAATAATTTTCCACCGCGCGCAACTTCTCCAGAAAGTCCCGGAGCGCGAATCATATTTGAGGAGCTGAGAATCATCACGCGATTCTCTCTTCTGCTCTGATCTGATCTGATGCACAGAAAACGGACGCGAAAGAGGTGCGATTTGATGACGTTTCGGGTGATCCGCGAAGGCCGAGAGATAATCCGGCCGCGGCTTTAATTGGCTCAAAGTGTGATTATGTTGTCATTTAAATGGCATGAAATATGCCATACAGTCGAGGGAAAACAGTGCAGAAGGAACAAAAAGAGAGGCATAAATCGATTGAGAAGTTACCATCAATTACCTCTGCGGCTCTTCGTGTGCCTCATTAATTATATGAAAGTTTACCTGTTGCTCGCTTCGCGTTGTCCAAAGTGCCATTCTCTCTGGCTCTTGTTCTGGCGATTCTCGCGCATCGCGCTGTCTAACAGTTCTGTTGTGGGCTTTGATTGAGCCCACGATTGGATCTTATCAGAGTGTGGATATTCTTTCCTAGTGTACAACTTTGTATAAATGATTCGTTGATTCTGAATTACTTCATATCCAACGCGCGACGAGTGACAGGTGTCCTTGTGTCTTCGACACTCTTCCTCTTTGCGTTCAAGACGTTTCGGAGGTCTTCTGACAATAATTTTTTACTTATGTCCATTTGGATTTATTTACATTTCATTTAGATATACAATAATTCCTTAAATTCTAAGTACTTGAACACGGAGATCTGTAGTTGTGTAGCTTTTGTCCTCCTCAAGCAATCGTTCTGATGCGGTTTCTGTGCTCGCCGTACTTAGTTCGCTTACATTTGTCAAACCTATACACATTGCATACCGGTCGAATGCAAATATAATAATTTGGATACAATAATTTTCCTTCTATTTTCTCTTGTTTCTTCGCTCGTCTGGATAGGGATGGTAATTAGGTATTCCTTCAAGGTTTCGAAGGCGTCCTGACATTGTTGTGTTCTTCTGAAGATGGCACGTTTTTCGGTTAATTCTTCTCTTTTACTACGTTTCGGGAATTTCATTTTCCCTTCCGTAGTTTTTCAGTTAACTCGTGAAGAGGTCTGGCTATGGTGGCAAATTGTGGGACAAATTTCTGGTAATAGGAACTGTAAGAGACTTTACTTTAAATTAGAGGTTATAGAAGAAATTATGAGTAAGACTGGTCTTCTATTCACCTGATCGAGCTCTCTCACTTGAAAGTACATACAGACTTTATTATCCTTGCTCGGTCAGATTTTTATTATATTTCATTTAATAACAAAAATAATTTTCTTCTCAATTTCAACTTTTCGCTTTCAACTTCTTAATTTCAACGTATAATTTAACTATAAAAATATTTTAGTCATCATAATTTGAAAAAAAAAGGATTTAGGAAAGAAAGAAATTATTCATTATTTAGAAAGAAAATATGAAAGAAAAATTGTGGAGCGGTGTGGTCATCTTTCTGCTGCCTAAACTTTGTTCTTTCTGCAAAAAGAAAAAAAAAATAGTCTGTGATCAAAATTGATCTTCTTAATAATGTACTGTCTCTTCGGCTTCTTTTGGGAAGGGCGCGCGTCGGCAACATCTTCTTCCACGTCCTGTGTCGGCTGCACGACCTTTTTCGGCCGCTCCTTTGTGAGCGACTTCTGGAACCAGCCCGGTTGCCATCTTCGTCCTCAGACACATAATCTACGACGGTGTTGCCTTTTGCCCTCTTTTTAC